CTTCAGCCTAGGCCTAACTGTTCTGTGGGGTGGGTAGAAATTCAGTCTAGGTTGTGTTAGAGTCAATGCAAGAAGACAACAGCTCTTATTCCTAGGACACCAGGATGTCCACACTTCCCATGGCATGGTGACATTGTGCTTTGTTCTGCCTTTGGGACAGAGCAGAGGCAAGGGAAAGGGCTGAAACCTCTTTCCTCAAACACACATTAGGGGACAGTGACCACTCCAGGCCTCTGTCCTCACCTGGCCAAGAGTCTAAAGCACTGGCTTGGTTGCAGCCTGTCCTTCCCGTGGGGAGCAGGCCCAGGGCATGAACAGGACAAGGGTGGTTGGGTCTCAAGGTGGGTGGTGGTGCCATTTGACTGTCTGGCTCCAGCAATGGAGTCATGGCCACTATGGGTACTTCAACCTTCAATGTCGTCTGCTGTCCTGGTGGGCTCTGTGGATGGGGCCCCCAACCAGCAAGGCCTTGGACCTTATAAGGTTCCCTTCTTGGGCCCAGTCCACAATCTTGGACCTGTGAGGGAAGGGGCTTCCTGTGGCACAGTGCCTCATCCTGTCCTCAGATGTGCAGGGTCCCAGGTGAAGTGGCCTCACCCTGTCCACCCATCTTTTCCTGGCCTCCCCTTCCACCCTGGCCACCAAGGCCATGGCCATCGCTGGCCTTACACTATCTTTACCTTTGTGAAGCCAGAAGCTGGGGCTGTGCCCTTCTCCTCCACTTACCAGAGACACCTGGCCAAGCTGCTTCCCCTTTTAAGCAGCTCTCTATGCCCTCCCTCACCCCACCCACACTCCTTGCCTCTGCTCCTTGGGGATGGAGGGGCATAGGTGGGTCTCAGCAGCTATCGCAGTCAGCGCTGATGCAGGGCCAGGTGTCCACCCTTATCCTGTGGCACCTGAAGATGGAAGACAACCCACAGTGTCTAGAGCAGCCCACCCCTAGGGGTTGGCATTCAGGGGATGATGTTTGGTGGGTCCGAGTAGTCAGTTTGGACAGTTGGGGATTCAAGAGCAAGGCCTAGGCTTTTGTTTTACAGTTGTGGTCTTTTTTTCTTTGCAAACAGCAAACAGTGTCCTGGGAAACCATGCCAGCAGCAAATATAGGCACAACCCTTCCCGGAGCCAAATGTTTGCCCAGCCACGGAGCTCCTGAGAGTGAGCAGGGTGACCACGGGGCATGGCCTCTCCAGGCCTGTGGTGACTCACAGATGGGGGAGCTGTCTCATGTCTTTGGAGACCTGGAGGTCACCCTGGTGGGTAGCTCTGGGCCATGTCTCTCCCACTTCATGGCTCACACTCTGAAGTGTATATTGCCCAGGTTCGGGAAGCCAGCTCTCCTGTGATTGGATGGGTCTCCTTAGCCAGGGACCTTAGCCTGGTCCCCTGCTCTTACCCCTGGTGTATTTGGTGAGGGTCCAGTCCCCTCAGTGCATGGTGTTTCCAGCGTGTGTCCTTCAGGACCCATTCGAGAATCTGTGATGTCTGTGTCTTTCTCCAGAGTGCTCAGTCAGCCAGCTGTATCTGAGGCTGTGGCTGCTTCTTCAGATGGAGCCTGGGAGGGGGTTGGGGGTGCTGCTATAAACAAGGATTACAGACGGTGGAGAGGACCAGGCAATGGGAACATTTGCATGTCCCAAATTCAGACTCCTTTGTGCAATTTTCTCACTTCCTTAAACCTAGACTCCTGGGAAGCCTGAGAGTAACTGTCACCAAGCAAGGGTCTTGCAAACCCCAAGTTTGCCACCCATTTTGCTGTGATGGCTGCCGATGGGCCTTCTCTGGTCATTGAGCTCTTGACCTGTTTATTCAAAGTTGGGGCATAGGCGCAGGTGCATAGGTGGCCTGTTGGTCATTGGCATCATGGTTCTTGGACTTGGATGTCCTGCTGAGCTTAGCTGACAGTAGCCAGAAATGGAAGGAAATGTCCCCAGGGTCTTCCTCACCTCCTCCTGCCCCAGGCTCTTTTCTGGCCCTGAGAAGCCTGAAAGCCATCACTGATTCCCACCCCACCTTACTGTCTAGTGGTCAGTGCAGCTTCTTGTTGGCAGATCTGGGGAGGTTGGGGGCCCCACTAGGGCCAGGTGCATCCTCAACAGGTGCCTTGGATTTCAGCCCCACCTATGCACTGTGCACTGTGTGGCCTCTCTCCCTGGAGGGAGGACACTGGGCCCTGGGTAGCAGCTGTGCTGTAGAAAAGGTTGGTCTGGGGGTCTGATCCCCACTGCACAGGGCCAGCCTTAGGAGAGCCTGGGGCTGGCAACTCTTTCCAGTGGGTAAATGTTGGTTTTCTCTGTAAAGACATTATCTCCCTCCTGTAAGTTTTAGTTGTAAATAGAGAATGGCCTTGTTTTCTTTTTTGTTTGTTTGTTTGTTTGAGTTTTTTAATTGCCAGAGGACACATATACTTGCCAGAGACAGAGAAAGAAAAGGAAAGCATTCCCCAGTGGGATATGGTCATGCCACAATCCTTTTTCCTCCATTTTTCCTTCCCATCTGGATATGGGATGTGCACACACATGCACCCACTGTGTTTTTCAAGCTGCCAGAGCTGGGATTCAAAGCATGATTGGCCACGTGGGATCCAACTCCCAATGCACAGTACTTAACTGTTATGTTAGGGGGCTGGCCTGAGGCCTTGATTCTTATTTCACGTTATAATACAGTGCTCTTAAGTGCAATTTTTTTCATTTAATTTATATCAATGCTATATATTTTCAAATTTTAAGAGTCTGCTAGTAATATAAGTATATAATGAAAAGAATATATCTGCGTATATTTATGGACTTTTTTCTTATGGACTATGACGATTTTGCCATCTTATAATCCCTTATTTCCCTGCCACACATAGACACAAACATAATTTTTGGCTAAATCAAAATTCAGTTTTTATATTAATAATTGCAGCCTATTCACATAAATAAACTATGAATATATTTTATTTTTATTCAACTCTTTGTTCTCTGTAGAGTTGATCTTTGCCTCATTTTTTGTCTGCTTAGTTTTTGTTTGTGAGACACAGAGAGAGAAAGAGAGAGAGAGAGAGAGAGAAATCACTCCCCAATGGGGGCATGATCATGCTGCAATCCTTTCTTCTCCATTTCTTCATTTTCTCTCAACCCAGTGTGTTTTTCAAGCCACCAAGGCCAGGTCTCAAACCGTGGACAGTGTGGGATCTGGCACCCTTAACCATTAAGCCACAGGGCTGACCCTATCTGCTTAGTTTTTATAGTCTTGTTGCTTACTCATCCCCAGCTCCCAAAGACAAAGAAATCTCTCTGTGCCTTTAGACATTTTCAGTATTTACTTCAGTTTCCTACTGCTGTGTTAACATACTCTTCCAAAACATAGTGATTTAAAATAATGCTGGTTTGTTATTTCTCAGAATTCTGTGTTCACTGGATTGAAATATCTAAAGTAATTAGTTCTCATGTGCCTGACAGCTTGGCTGGGATGGCAGAGACAACAGGGGCTGCCTGCCCCCCTCCACACACACACACACACACACACACACACACACACTCCCCTCCAGGGCCTCGCCAGGTGCTGGCTGGGCTCCCTCACAGCATGGCGGTTTCAGAGAAGTTGGAACTTCTTCCCCAGCAGCCTTGGGCTTCCAAGATACAGTGGAGAAGCTGCAGCCCCTTAAGGGCTGGGTCAGGGGCATGCTCAGCATCATGCCTGCCATTTCTGGTGGTCCGAGTGAGTTATGATGAGGAGCAGCCAGGATGTGGGGTGTTTTCAGTCTGCACTGTGCAGTGTCCTCTTTCTCAGGGCCGATGTTGCAGAGCTCTAGGCTGCAGAAGCCCTGGACTCTCCCTTCCCCTTTCCCATTTGCTAATCTCCTGACTCCCTCTCTGGTTCTCCCCCTTAGTCCAATAGCCCAGGAAAGGTGAAGTGGGAGATGTTGCAGACCTGCTGCCTTCTTGCGCCCTCCCACGGACTAGCCAGCTTGGGGGAGAACTCTGATGAGAACACTTTCCCCTCAGTGTTTGATTCAGGGGGCACCACCTTTCTTTTCTTTTCTTTCCTTTTTTTTTGAGAGGTTTTTGCTATAGGGCGTGTGCGTTCACCAGAAAGACAGAGAGAGAGAGAGAGAGAGAGAGAAAGTGAGAAATCACCTCCCACCCCTGGGGGTGAATGGCCACACTGCAATCCTTCTCCTCCATTCTCCTCTCCTCTTGGGATCTTGGACATACATGCACACGCACCTGGTGTGAGTTTAAGACACCGGGTCCGGAACTCAAACCGCAGTCAACTACATGGGAGTCCAGTGACATAGCCATTATGCCAACTGCTGGTCCCAAGGTGGCACCTTTCTTAAGGGGTAGGGCTGGCCCTGGGATACTGGGCTGAGGTGACCATCTCTCCCCAACACATCTTTTTATAGGATGGCCATGCTGTGTGGGTGTTCAGGTGGGGGGTTGGGGCACATTGGAAGCAGGCCTCATACCTGGGGATTCCCTACTGACCAGGGGATGGGTTCTCTGTTTCCCTACCCTGGGGGCCTCCTGGTGTGGGAGGGAGGTGTCCTAGTTGGATGAGGGCCCTCAGTCTGCCCCACAGGGCCCCAGACCGACAGCCACACGCAGGTCCTGCACTGTGAGCCCAAGCCATTAGCTCTGGCCATTAGAATAATGCATGGCCATTATCTCCTCAGCCATGAGCATCTGGAGGGTCTAGAGTAGCAGGCCTCTCCTCAGCACCCCTGTGTGTCGAGGCTGGTCAGCCACTCAACTTCAGGGCAAATCCTGTGGCTCAGGCTCCCAAGCCTTCCCCCAGGCAGGCCCTGGACACTACAAGTCATGGACACCAAGGGAGGTTGGCCCTATGGGTGGTTCTGGGGGCTTTAGAGGTGCCCACTGAGCCACAGAGCCTAAGTGAGCTGCCTTGAGAGACTCCTGGGGTGGTGCTCTAGTCTGACGCGTGGACCCCCCAGGAGGCCTGACTCCCAGCACTCGACCACGAGGTAATCTCTGCTCCTTTCTGCTTTCCCCAAGGTCACCGTCGGTGAGAGCACAGCTGTTGTCCTGGAACTTCTGACTTCCACCCGAGGGACCCCCATGTGCCTTCTGGCCAGCCGTGGGCACATACACACTGGGCACAGTGGTCAGCTTGGTGTGAGGCCATCAGAGAGGAGCAGGTGTGTCAGGGAGAGGACAACCCAGTGCACGGTGGCGCCTTTCGGCTGAATGTATTTATTCCTGTGACACAGACTTTAACTTACCTGGTTTGGGAAGTAGCCAGGAACTCGAAGATGTGCTTGCTGCTGCTGCTTCCCATGCTAGGGGGCATAGACAGCCCACCAGGCTCAGGGCATCCCATGGAGGACTAGGGCCAGCTGCCTGGTCTCTGGCTGCTAGTGTGGGTGGCCATGCCCAGCCATGGAGCATCCTCCTGGGTTGCCCTGAAGGCTTCAGGAAATTGCATGTGAAGGGTTCTCCTTCCCAAGCCCTTGAGTGCGAGGTCTCTGTGCACTTGAAAGCCGGGAACCCGCCATGCCTTCCCCTCCATGTTCATCCAGAGCATGGGTCCCACTGAGCACCCAGCACTGGCCTGCAAGGCCACCTTGAGAGATGCTGCTATGAGTTACCAGTACTGTGTGGAGGGGGGAGGCGCTGCCATTGCAGAAACAGGCTTAAACATTAAAAGGAAAAAAAAATAATAAAACTTGCTCTGTTGTTTATAAGAGTGCATTTCTTCCCCCTCCCTTTTGTCACTTTAAAGACCAAAAAGAAAAGGAAGAAAAGAAAAAAGTGGATCGTCTTCTCTTTGTTTCAGTATAAAAAGGAATGAAAACAAGTCTATGTCGAAGTTATTAAATACGTACTGCTGTCATGGTTTACGGTTGTGTGTTTGTTCCTGTGGTGCTGTGGGAGCTTTGCGTCCCTTTGAAGGTACTGTAGAAGGGTCCTGTGGCCACACTAATACTACAGTGGCTGTCACTGCGAGAGCAGTTTGGTTGAGTCTCCCCAGTCTTACGGCTCATCAAGGTTTTCTGACTGATGTTTGAATTTCCTAGGGAGAGGCAACATCTCTACAGATGGGGTAGTTTTGCTCTTCATGTCTTCTCTAAAACCTCCTGTGTGTTATTTCTTGGTTCGCTTGTCCAGAGCCAAGGGACATCCTAGAGTGATGGTGGCAGCTTTGTTGATCCTGGTTTTGCTAGAATATTCTGTGATCTAAGGGTGCCATTGCCTTCAGCAAGGACTATGTCCTCTCCAGGGACAGATGAGGGGACCCAATTCAGAAATATCACAGCCTGGCAGGGCCTCACCCTCACAGTTTCCTGAGTTGTGGGCTTCATTCTTGGTGGTGGTGGTGGTGGTGGTGGGTGGTAGGGGAGGCGTACTTGTCAAACTGTTTATAGCAGCAGTGCCCTTTTCTCAGACAAATTTCTCCCCAGATTAAACCCTCCCAAGGTGGAGCTCAACTCTGAGACCTTCCAGGTCCCTAGGGTCCTGGGAATTGTTTGAATATCCATAGGTGGAAGGAGACCTTGCACGAGTCCAGGGAAGCAGAGAGGGGGAACTTGGAAGAATGAAAGATGGCTCTATCCCATCCCTCCCTGCTCCCCACTCAGGTTCATGGGCAGCCCCCACCCTGCCCCTGGCCCACCCTTCCCGTGCGGGTCTAGGAGAGCAGAGGCTCTGACTCAGGTCTGGGCAGCCCAGGCTGCTAGACCTGTTGTGCTCACAGCTGCCCCGTTGTTGTTCCCCACCTGAGACCAGAAGTGAGGTCTCTGAGATGGAGACCTCTCTGTCCATTTGACGTGGTGGGCTGATGTGCCCATCAGGAGGAGAGAAGCGGCTGCTCTGGAGTGATGCCTGGATTTGGAAGGAAGTGCCATGGCAGAGAAATGACGGGGTGTTTGTTTTTTAAAGTTCCACATTGCTCTGTCAAGAAACGTGTATCAAACAGAGTGAGTGGACCTGCTCTGTGAGATTGAAAAGCCATGTCCATCCCTGGCTTGGACATTTTTGCTTCTGACTTTAGCCCAACCTGTAACTCTCAGCCCAGCCCCTGCAGGTCAGAGCAGCAGGACTAGCCCCCAAGGCCAGAATGTGAGGATGGGTATGCCAGCTGGAAGCAGCTTCCCAGGGCTTTGGCCTTTAATCCTGAGGTCCTGCGAGGCAGAGGTGGAGCTTTCAGATGCCTTGGGAGTTTGGACACTGCTACCATGAGCACACAGTGGTCAGGCAGGAGTGGAACCTGGCCTTGAATCTTGCACTTCCACCCAGGGACTCCCCAGGAAGGCTTGAGCATGGGAAAGAATTCCTGCTCTCAGGTTAACTTGGGCCAAGAGGAACCTACCATGTGGAAGTCCTGGAGACGCACAGCCTGGGGCAGATACTGGATCTTTCTGGCAGTCAGGAGGAGCCTGTGTTCCCCAGAAGCAAACACAACAGCTGAGCAGACTGCGGCCTTTGCAGTGCTTGTTGGTAGGGTGGATCATGCATCTTTAAGAGCTGTCAGGCTGGATTCACACCACTGGCACCTGTCCCTGGCTCAGAGTCAGGGGCAGGGTGGTCTTCTTCCCACTGGGAATGAAAGGAAGGGACATGGCCATCTGATCAGCAAATGGCTAGGAAAGGGCTGGCCTCTGATTTCCATCCATGGCTGTCTGCTGCACCCACATTCCTCCTGTCTACTCGGCCACCCAAGCAAAGGCAACAGCCATTCAGAGGAACCACGAGTCCCGGAGGTGCGACCAGTGGGTACTGAGTCGGGGAGGTGAAGGAAGCTGCACTAAAGGTGATTTCCTTTAAGGAAATGCCTGGACATATTCTGCTTTGGGGGCCCAGTGTCTGGTCTCTCTATTGGGGAGTTTGGAGGGAAGATCGGGAGTGCCCACCACTGTGCCAGCTCCTCTGGGCAACTCAAGGCTTTCACTAAGCCAGTGGTTCCAAGCAGGGTCTAGTAGCTGTGCACAGTCTGATTTGTGGAGATGTGCATCTTCATTGCATCAGATCGATGTGACTGCTGGCCCCGGAGCCTTGGCTTCATCTAGGCCTGAGAGGGTTGCACTCAGACACTGTCCCTCCAAACCAGATGGCACAAGATTCTGTGAGCAAAAACTGGCTTGCCTGGTGGGTCTGAGAGTGTGGGTTGGCTGTGGGCCCCACCCCCCATGAAAACCTGAGGCTACATGAAGTGGTCAGGGGGTAGGCTAGAGAGTCCCTGAAACACTAATCCTGTGAGATGATTCAAGGAAAAGTTTCCCTTCCACAGAAGTGTGCAAGTGAGATTTACACACACACGCACACACATACACGCCAGCTTATGAAAGCCTCTGAGGAGTGCTGAAATTCGAAACACAAAGCACCAGGCCCAGCCAAGGTGGTGCAGGCAGTGAGGCCCCGCTGTGCAATGCTGGAGCCACACGGGAGCTTGGTCTGCTTTGGCCACCAGTCTTCATGACCCCAAAGCCATGAATTGTATCAGAGACCCTAGCGATGCTCAAAACCTCTCACTATGCCCTGCCCCCTCAGTGTCCCCTCCCACTGACCGCTGGCTCAGGTGTCCAGGGCTGTACCTCTCAGGGCTGCCCTCTGCTGAAGCCTGCAGGACAGCCAGGCAAGAAGGCCTAGACAGAGGCTGGAATCCCCGCTGTTCCCACCTGATCTGAGCCCTGTTCTCCATCCCCTCACCCACCCCAAGCTGGGAATCAGGCAGGCAAAGCAACTGCAACTTCGGTGCTGCCCCCGGGGCATGGAGGGTGGCTAATACTTCAGTTCTAATTACGAGTGAAGGCAGCTTTTTCTCCCTTTTTTAAGTCTTTGTGACTTTCTTTAAGCAGCACATTAATCATGTTTCCCTGTCAGTTTGATTTCATGGTAGCCCACACCAAGCCCATCTAAGGAACCGGGAGGCAGGACGCGCACTGAGGTCCTGTCTCCTCGGACCTGAGCTAACATCCAGGGCAGGGCCTAAAGCCATGGGTCAGCTCCCAGCCACATCTGGGTGCCTTGGGGCATCCTGTTCTGTGCTTGGTCCTCTTTGGGTAGGGGGTGCCACCCCCACTCCTCCACCCCTCCACCCCCTGGAAAGTCTGAACACAACGGCCGGCGGGTTCCTGTCCCCAAATGCGGGCCTAGAAGTCTCCAACCTGGACTCACATGGCCAGACCACTGTCCTTGTGGTCCTCACCACCTGCCAGCTCTGTGTGATGTGCCAGTTCCAGGCTTCGCCTGGGTAGCCCCTTGCAGCCTCCCAGCACCCCTCTGAGGCAGGCCCTCCCTGTTTGTCTCCACCCTTGTGGGACACACACAGAGGGCTGGTCACAGTGAACTCCATGGCTCCCGCTCTGGTTTTTTTTTTGTTGTTGTTGTTGTTGTTTGTAAAGAGGTTTTTGCCTTCAGGCATGCATGCCAGAGAGAGAGAGAAAGAGATAGTGAGAGGGAAAGTGAGAAATCACCCCCCAGAAGTAATGGCCACACTGCAATCCCTTCTCCGTTCTCCTCCCGGGATCTTGGGTACACATTTGCGCCTGGCATGATTTTGAAGCCCCCAGGTCTGAGATTCGATCCATGGTTGGCCATGTGAGAGTCCAATGATATAACCGCTATGCCATCTGTTAGCCCCTGAGCCTGCTCTTCTTATAGCCCAGAGGGACAGGCACCTGGGGGAATGGGTACCTGGGGGAGCAGGCACTAGTCAGCTCAGCAAGGTCCTCAGGAGCAAAGTGTAGAATGGGATCGTGTGAGTCTGGAGTCTGGGGACATTAGGAGGACTAGAGGGAGCTGGTCCTGGGGCCTTTCTTACTCAGGTCCCCATCAGCAAGAATTCTCTCATGCAGAAAAGAGCTGGGCAGGGCCTCTCCACGGTCTACCCAGCGGTCCCTCACTAAAGGGCTCTAGCCCTTTAGTCTTCAAAGGGATTGTAGGGCCAAGTGTGAGTGTGATCCCATTAACCACTGGGGGCCCAGGCCAAATGGTGGTTTCCCAGGGCAGGGATATCCAGCAGCAGAGGAGGCTCCAGTCGTGGCTCTCCCAGCCACCAGCCCTTCATGAGAACAGCCACCACCTACTCTGCTCAGCAACCAGCTCACTCCTGGTCGCTGCTGTCCCTCCTCTTCACCAGGGCTGCTGTCTGTCATTGGCCCTGAGGCCAGCTGTCATTGCTTTTGATGTGGAGCAGGCCGGCTGAGAAAGGACAGGAGGGTGACAGGCCGGATGCACATGTGCAGAGAGCAGGTTTGTTTTCTGTCACTCATCCTTGTCCCCAGCCTAAGCTCCATTCCATTCCTTCAAAGGACATAGTCTCCACTACCCTCCCCACCCCTCCACTGCAGCCGGGGCACCACGGCACGCTTTGCTCTGTATTCTTCTGCCTGCTGCTTGTTCCCAGTCCTCTGCCCAAGTGGCCCTATCTCTGTCAGAACCTCTTCCCAGAGGCCACAGCCCAGAACCCCCACTCACCATCGGGGAAATGGGGGGTCAGGAGAGCCTTCTCAGCTCAGGAGCCTGGGGACAAGGCCGGTGGGGCCTCCTAGGGCCAGGCTGGCATCCTCCTTCGCCTTCCAAGGACTGGGCCCTGGTGGCCGTGGGCTCTGGGTTGATAGCATGGCAGTATGGGGCAGTGTGAGGCTAGACAGCAGCTTAGATATGACTCACGTGCCATATCTTTCTTATCCTTCACAGCAGGGCAGGGGGCTGTGCTGCAGCTTCTGCCCCCAGGACTGCCAACTCTGCCACCCTTCCTTGCCTGCAAAGCCTCCCAGCCTGC